CTTATATAGCAACATATACATATTATATAGAATTATTAGCAAGCGGCTTATTTATTTATTTATTTATTTATTTTCACCAAAACTTAAAAACTATCATTACAGGTATGCGCCAACTTAAAAACTATCATTACAGGTATTACCCAATGCGACAGTCCAAGACAATGACGTATAATTTTAATATTATATATAAAAAAATATATCTACTTATCTATTAATTCTTATACAACTTATAACTACAAATAAATAAAGCAACTTTTGTGAATTCACTCAGAGAACATGTAAATATGTCTATCTCGTTAGCAATCAAGTTAATGGTCCGTGTTGCGCGCGTGAGCGGAGCCTCACGTAATAAGTTGGTACGCGCATTCGGCACCGCCAGCAGCGGTGGTCGCCGCCTGCGCCCAGCATACTTGTTGGGCACACTCCAGTTTATTCGCCCCAGTAAATCCGCATTCTCCTGTTTCCCTCTTATTAACTTAAAGATGTATGTCACCAATGCTACGTTTCTCCTGACGTCCAGTTTATTGTAGCCTACCATGCCTAGTACAAATAACGTTGGGTACATCCGCGGGTAAAAGGGATATACGCCATACTGTCTCAAATATATATATCTTACGAACTTATTTTGTATTTTTTCGAGCATAAGGCAACACTTCTGCAAAACTGTGTGCTCTGCGCAGGACAAAACCCAAGTTACGGTACGCTTTCTTACAGATATTATGCACATGATCCCGAAATGAAAGCGATGCTGTTAAACCAACGCCCAGATCCTTTACCTCATTCACCCTAGCCATGGACACCCCCTCTACCTTGTAATCATACACCCTGGGATTGTGCGCGCGAGAAAACGTTATAGCTGCGCATTTGGCTGTATTAAATTGCAATTTATTTTCATGGCTCCACGTTACCACTCTGTCTATGTCTCTTTGCAACTTCTCGCAATCATCGCGTTCTAGTATTGCCATATACAATTTTAGGTCGTCTGCAAACAGCAGGCACTTTGCATCTTGTACCTTCGACGGCAAGTCGTTTACGACTAGCAGAAATTCCAAAGGCCCAAGATTACTGCCTTGACTTACACCAGATCTTGTGTAATATGCTTCTGACACCCATCCAGCGTAATCCACATACTGCTGACGGTCCCTCATGTAGCTGGCGAAGAACTTCAGTAGATGTGAGGTGAATCCGGCACTGGCCAACTTTTGTAGAAGTACGTCATTATCGACTAAATCGAAAGCTTTTTTGAAGTCAAAATAAGTGGCGTCTACCTGCTCCCCCACATCCACACACGGAACCACGTCAGCCATATAATTGAGTAGGTTGCTAGCCGTACTTCGTGCCGGACGGAAACCGTGCTGCGCGTCGGTCAACTGTGCTCTTATCTGCGAGTACAAACACCCGTGGACAGCAGATTCCAGAACCTTTGCCGGCGTGGACAATATTGCTACCGGTCTGTATCCCTCTACGGTAGATGATGAGCAACCCTTTGGCACCGGTACCACGCGTGTCAGTTTCCACCTTTCCGGGAATACCGCCGACGCCAGGCAAAGATTATAGATATGTAATAAGGGCCCCGCCAAGACGGCTCGACAGTCCTTAAAAAGGAAGGGTGGAATACCGTCCGGCCCCACGGATGTTTTGGGCTTGAGCCGCTGCAGAGCCCTCCTCACATCTTCTAGTTGGAGCCGATCCAAATGTATGCACATGCCCTCGTTATTATAGAATTATTCAGTAGGATCAAAGCAGTTGGTTCTGAAATTGTAAAATTACCAGTCGGTGCGTGTTTAGGCACGACCCTTACTCCTGCTTAGATCGGTCCCCGGTATGAACAAAAACGAAATCAACTATTGCAAACAAACTACAAAGCAGAGCAATATTAAATTGCTACACATGCTACACATAATTTTCCCAACTCAACTCCTTCACTTCTTGACTTAATAATTGTGTCATCTTTGAACTTCGTTAGTAAACATGGTCAGTGCGCTGCGGACGCTTTTTCTTATCATGACTTGATTTATCTTTCCTACAAAATCCGCCCACCCAAGGCTAAACCCAAAATTCTTCTGCAGCGCAATTTTCGTGGAATTGATTTGGACTGTTTGCGAAGTGATGCTCGTGAAATTGACTGGGGTAACGTTGTGAATGCTATATCAATAGATAGCAAAGTGTCCGAGTTTAACAACACATTGATGAATCTTTACGATAAACATGCACCAGTACGGCCAGTTAAAATGAAACACCTCCTTGCACCTTGGCTAGACCAGAATGTTAGGACTGCTATGAATAAAAAGCTCACAGCTAAGGCCAGATTTAAGTACAGTCCTACAGACGAGAATAAGCGCATGTATAATGAGCGTCGTAATCACTGCAATAGGTTGTGTAGGGATGGACAACGCCGACATATTCATAGTTCTTTACAAACTGATGATCCGGCTAAAGTCTGGAAGTTTCTTAGGTCGCTGGGAGTTGGTAAGTCACGTCAAGATAGTTTCCCAAAAAATTTAAACCTTGATGATCTTAATCATCATTTCTCTAATTCCGTTGCCTTCGACGGGTCGACTAAAACATCTACTTTAAATTATCTTTCCACGCTTCCAACTGCCGACCATCCTCCGTTTTCTTTAAAAGAGTTTACTGATTGTGATGTTAAGAAGGGCATAGAATCTATTTCGTCCAATGCTGTTGGCAGTGACCATATTGGTCGTAAAATGTTTTTATTCATAGTTGATGAGATTTTACCTGTGATCCGGTATATTCTTAATTTTTCTATCAGCAGCGGAGAATTTCCTTCCCTTTGGAAGGAAGCTCTCATTACTCCTCTTCCCAAAAAAGCCAATCCATCTAACTTTTCTGATTTCCGACCTATTTCTATACTTCCCTTTCTATCAAAGCTGCTAGAGCGACTAGTTTATAACCAAATTACTCCTTTTCTCATACGTAACAACCTTCTTACTGCTCTTGTTAGGATCACTGATGACATTAGGTATAGTATGTCGCAACAGCAACTCACTGTAATGTCATTGCTTGATTTCAGCAATGCTTTCAACAACGTTGATTTTGACATTTTGATTGCACTTTTACGCACTCTTAACATATCTCCAACGGTAATCTCTTGGTTTCATAGTTACCTGCATGGGCGTCGGCAGTGTGTTCGCATTGATGTTGGTGTGACATTAATGCTGGCGTTCCACAGGGCGGCGTTTTATCTCCTCTTCTCTTCTCGATCTTTATTAATTCAATTTCCCGCAGTCTTACCTCATCCTACCACCTGTATGCAGATGATTTACAAATTTACACTCACCGGCAACTTGAAAACCTGCACGAAGCCATTGAGGTAATCAATAATGATCTCCGTCATATTTCGACGTGGAGTAAACAATTTGGTCTTAAGCTGAACGCAACGAAAACGCAAATGATTATTATTGGCAGCTCTAGAATGGTATCCAAGATAGATTGGTTTCGCTTGCCGCAGGTCATTATAGACGACACCTACATTAAAATTAGTAACAATGTTAAAAATCTAGGTATACTTATTGATAGGCAGCTATCTTGGGCACCTCAATTAGTTGAGACCAGCCGCAAATTGTTTGCGTCTGCCGCATCTCTCAGACGGTTACGTAATTTTTTACCTATTGCCACGAAAACTGCGCTTGCCCAAACTCTTCTTCTTCCAATTCTTGATTATGCTAATGCCTGCTATCTGGATTTAACCGAAGAACAGCTCAACAAACTCGAACGTCTACAAAACTTTTGCATCCGTTTCATTTATGGTCTGAGGAAATTTGATCATGTTTCCATTTATCGCAATGAGCTGAAGTGGTTACCCATTAGACTTCGCCGGAATGCTCATATTCTTAATCTTCTCTATGGCATCTTATTCATTCCTCACACACCACCTTATCTTAAGGAGCGATTTGAATTCGCCCACCAATACAACCCCCGACTTCTGCGCTCTTCTTCCACTCTCCAACTTAAGATGCCATTGCATACCTCCCAGTATTACGACAAGTCCTTTACTGTTCAGGCTATTCGTTTGTGGAACGCTTTACCTTTGTCTATTCAACAAGTGAAATCATTGAATATATTCAAAAATATGGTAAAAGTACACTACCTTAATTTAGTGTGACCGGACTGCTTAGGTATTTTTATGTTTTGAAATTAGGTTTTAGAAATTTTTATACTTATAAGTATGAGAATATATAGTAGTTGACGATATTCATATATATGTATTGGTTTTATTATTTATTTATAATATATGTATATTTGTATTTATTTATCAATTTTTATCTGTTGATTAAGTAATTCTTCATACACCATCGCCTTTTTCCTATGAATTATATAATTACTTCCATCCAAAGGTTGTCTGGCAGAAATCGCTTAAAGCGATAAGACCGCCCATTGTACCACCGCTTATTTTTAATTTAATTGTATTGTATTTGTTTCCTTTTTTGGTGTACAATAAAGAATTTTTGTATTGTATTGTATTGTAAATTTAGGTCTGAACTTCATTTACTCATTGATTATTGTTAACCTTAGCATGGTGCTCCAAATGCATAATCCTTTCTATGTCAAATAATTATAGTACTTATTTAGAATAATTATGTTACTTGTTAATAATACATATAATTTTAAGGCTAAGAAAAATAGTTTGTTTTTTGAAAGACTGATAAATTTTGAATCTCATTAAAATAAATTAACGATTTAATAATTCTTTGTTACATTTGTAAGCGATGGATTTATAATAAATAAAAATTACTCAAGATGTGGGAAATACGAACTATGCTTTCCCTAAATTTGGAGATTTTAACCTTGATTTTTGGGGATTTGGAATAATTAGCATTGGCAACGCAAACTGTCAGTCAGTTATTCAAGTCAAACAAAATTAAAAAAAAATCTTTTCTCTGACATCTGACATAAGGTGAGATTTTACATGTTTTTAGATAAATTGATCGAAACCGAATAAAATCTTATTATCAGGACTGGCTTTATGAATAAATATAAATTAATTACATCTGTTGTGCATTGGCGCATATACTGAAACGTGTATTTTATAATTGTTTCAGCCCCGTTAGATATACATCGGCTTCGTCATGGTGAGTTTTAATGTTTTTTTTATTACTTTTATATATTGCGTGTTGCTATTCTAAACATATAATAATGCTGTTACAGCCCCGTGAGATCAAAGATATCAAGGACTTCCTGCTTAAGGCCCGAAGGAAAGATGCCAAATGTGAGTAGATTCATCAAGTTACCAACATCCTTTGGTTGCAGGTTGTTACTTTTCCAATTTAAAAGCAAATTTTTCGTATTTATGGATTAGACACGAGCAGAAGTTGATGCAGTAGTTGTTTGCAATTTACGTTTTAACATTGCAATTTACGAAGTAACCTCCATGTCATAATATTTCAGCTGTGAAAATAAAGAAAAACCCGGAGAATGTAAAATTCAAGGTTCGCTGTTCACGATTCCTGTACACATTGGTCATCACAGACAAGGAGAAGGCTGATAAATTAAAGCAAAGTCTACCACCAGGTGAGCACGCTGCTCTCAGACAATAACCTCCATTTAGCATTAACACCACTGGATAACTGCAATAATATTCCTAGTAACTTTATTGTACAGTCATATGCACGTCAAGCTTGACACTTTGTAGTTTGGACCATTCTTGTCGTAAGCGTCATAGGGTCGTATTCTAGAACTCTATTCAATGCTCAAGTCAGGATTGCACTGGCAACACAAGCACTGGCAACACAAGCACTGGAAATACGACCCTAATGGCAGGGACTTGAGTATGATTTCTAGTACTTTGAATCATACTCAAGTTCTGACTTAAGCATTGAGTAGAGTTCTAGAATACGACCCTTAGAGTTGGATTTAAATCTTAAGTGTCAAGCTTGACGTGCTCTTGACTCTATACACACTATACCACAGTTTTTAGTATTAAGTTTAGCATCACATTTTAGAATGGTCAAACCAGTTAATAACATACAACACATTAGTGTTCCTCATGTACAGTAAAACAGCACAAAACTGAATGTTCACACTAAAACAATAACAAAAAAGAGTAAAGGTCCTTGTGAAACAGTTGTCCAGGGCAGTACTGCCACTTTGTGTTTCTGCTGCTAAGCAGTAATGTGTATTACTGCATTTTGGTTTTGAAGGGTAAGGGTGCAGGTAAATAACAGGCACATGGGACTTGTCAACTTATGTGTCTGGGTTATGGGCGCAGTAGCAGTGCCCCTCAGATCTTTGCTATTTAAGGCTCTGAGAGGCACTGCAACTGTATGGATAGGCGTGATTCATACCACTAGCACAATATGTCTTCTTCATCCTGTCACTTGATATCATAAAAGAAATCGTAAACATTTGCTTATAACCTTACTTATTCTTGCAATATGGCTGACTTGAAAACATCCAGTGCTTCTTCACTGGACTTCACGTGACCTTTGTGTTTTCTTAATTTTAGGGATTTAAAGGAATGTTAGGGCTTAGGTCAAGACTGGAGGGTGGTCAAGAATTTCTACATTTTCCTACTTCAAATACTCAATTGTTTGACAAGCGTTGTGTGAGCTAGCATTGTCATGATGTAGGATGATGTGTAGCTTGGAGTTATATTTCTGAAGTTGGCGATGACTTGTGATGAACAAACTGTGGTATATCATGCTGCATTAACTGTTCTACAATCTTCAAGTGCAATAATTGCAAAAGTAGCTACCATCTTCATTGAAGTGCTGTGAGAATGAACAACATTATTCAGTTTTGGCTCGTCTTGGTAGACCCAGATTATGAATTGTTGTTTGGGATAATGATCATAGGCATAGATCCAAGATTCGTCACCACCGATGATGTCATAGACATGATTTGACTCCTCTATTGACCTTTGAAGTTTTCTTACACCATTTCACGCAGACCGCCTTATGATTGTTGGTAAGCAAATGCAGGATCCAACAACAAACTAGCTATCTCACACCAAGCGCCTCATGCAAGATCTGTATGGTTGACCCTGAGATGCCTAATAACGCTTGTACGTCCTGATATATCACATGATGATCTTTGAAGATTAGTTGTTTCACAGCAACAATGTTATCTTCAGTGAAAGCAGATTTTGGGCATCCTTTACATGACTAGTCACAACACTGAGGCCGTTTTAGGCCTCTTTGGACATTTTCCTTAGTAAGATTAATTTTCGTACGTGACCCGACATTCAAAGCCACGCTGTGACTAAACAATTGCATTAATCGTAATTCTTTCAATTGCTTTTATATTCCAAATTTGAAAAAATACAATTATTTAATATTGAACAGTTCTAAATTGAAAATTGGCGATAAATGTGTGAACGACGGAAAGGCATGCCTCGTATTTCTTAATTATATTCAAGTGAAGAAAGTTTATGTCACTATGAAAGGATTGAATACTGTACTTGCGGCTGTAGTATGTATGGCGTTTTATCGCATGCAATAGGTGGTATACCTCCCCGCCACATATTTATCTCAGTTGTTAGGGCTATGTTGCCATTATTAAAATTCTTTTTTCTTGTTGGGAATACTGAATTAGTAAGTTACCGCACTAGTGGCTTTTTTTTTGATAATTAACTATTTCTATACATTTTTAACCGACTTCCAAAAAACGAGGAGGTTTTCAATCCGACTATGTTACGCGATAATTCCGGTATTTGTGAAGCGATTTTCATGATTATTTTTTTGTTGGAAAGAGGTATGGTGTATGGAGGTACCCAACTCCATACTTAAGGAACAATTATTTTAATGGTTGGTTTTGCTATTCTCCAATTCAAGGCGTTTTTCTCTCTCGATATACTTTGAGTAGTGAGAACCGACTTTTATTATCTCCTGTGTCAAGTCCTGTATATTGGGGAACTAGGGGATATTTCAATAAAACTTGGCAAATAGATGTAATTCCACACACACATATTATATAATGTGTGGATAACAATATGAAATTGCGTATAAGGTGACAAGTTGAACGAGATAAATATTTAAAGAGGCTAGTGTGTGTAGCTTCTACCCATACCGAATATATAAAAAAAAACACTACCTTATTTTAAAATATTTTACTCTAAGGAAAATGCTGCCTCTAACGTTTTGTAATACTCTGCCCATGATCGAACTTGCAGCGAGTGCCCGCTACCCTTACCGGCTCTTGCGCATGCTTTCCCACCCGTTTTGCACCCCAGCCCGCCCCCACTCGTTAAAGCACCGGCTTCCTGCAACCGCCCGGTTAGTTTGCTTACGCCCTTGTGTTAGACGGGACGTCACGCACGTCGTCGCGTATTTGTTTTCCGTGGTACATACATCGGTGTATTCGTCTGTATAGTTCAGTGGAGTGTAATAATGTTCATAACGACGCCTTATTAGTATTGGCACATGCATGGCGTGATGCGGTGTTACGTTATGGTACGTTGTGCAAGTGATGTTATTAGTCGTGCTAAGGTCCTGCACCGAGAAACATTCTTTAGTCGGCATTCTCCATCCTACACATTGATGTTAGGACTCAATTTTGTCTGTCCTAAGCAAGGTATGATGGGAAAATTTTATTATTTTTAATTGTACTCGTGCGTGCCTTACAGCTCCGCCACCAATGAGGAGATTTGGTAGTCGGCTTAGAGTCGGCGGCTCAGCGGTGGCAAGTGAGCATGCTTACAGTACCTATCTGGAAAATAGGGAACCTTCCCTATTTTCCAGATAGGTACTGTAACGGAGAACCGGATGAAGTACGTGCAAACGTGCTGATCCGGGGTTAGTACCCGACTTAGATGGTCCCTGTGCGAGCATAGAGCGCTTCCCGCATAACCAAGAGGGAGGGGCACTATAAACAAAACTTATGTAGAAAGTTATGGGACTGTACTTACCAACATTAGGATACATGAAAGTATTGTCAGAAGAACCTAGCTCCACAGCTGTACCGGAGCCACCACCAGCTATGTAGAGATTCGCACGTGAGTTTTGTTTCAACTTAGAACTATGACTCACACAACTTTGAAAGCAGAGACGATTTACGCGCAATTTTTCGACACTCGTAATCTCCTCCGCGTAAACTAAACGTTTCACGTCATGATCATAATGCTGTTTCTTTTTTTTTGCACTAACTCTCGTTTAGATACCAAACCAAGTGGCATTTCGTGAGAGACTAGAATGTATGTCAGCGGGACGTAGACGCAATACGGGAGGCAAGGTCGACTGATCTACCAATCGCGCGCTCGATACGATACTCCCCGCGCCGTCGCTACCCGCACCCCTCGCCGCTACAACCACCAAATAGATCTAAAATGCATTTCTGCGCACGTGCAAGATGTTTGCCAGTACCTATAGCAAATGCAGTGCAAGTCAATGACCTTTGGATCGAGCATGTTTTTTATTTTAATATTTTAATTGAATTGGGTTTAGTTTTGGGTATAGAATGACCTCTGTAATATGACAAGAATGCAAATCAACACATTATACAACAATCGGTTTCTTTTTTTATCTTCTTTGTCTGTTTGTGAAACTGTTTTTTCTGAATGACTATACATTTTGAAATCATTCGCATGGGTTGAACCTATAAATCTACTGAACTAAAGAAATATTTTAGAGTAATTTGAATTAGCAATACTGTAAAACCATTATTTCAAAAAATAATTAAGTCTTAACTGCCTCTGTGGCCGAACGGTTACCATGCCGGACTGCCACGCAAACGTACCAGGTTAGATTCCCGGGCCGGGAGAAATATTTGTATGGCCTACACTTATTTATCTCTTGAGTTTGGGTGTAATTTGTGGTTGTCTATGTGTGTGTCCATATCATCCGCGACACAGGGTTTCCCTAGTGCGGGGCTATGTTGAGTGTGTGCGCTATTATTATTAGTATCAAAACGGGGTCGCGCACGCAAGCGCAGAGGCCGAAAGTCCTTTGGCAGCAAAATAATCAAAAAGTGAATTGATTTCGAAAAGTGTCACGTGTAGTCACTACCGCATCGACACCACCAATGTTCGTCATGAATGTGAATAAACCGATTAACGTAAATGTGGGTTTATCAGTCCCAAAATATTAGTATTGACATTTTGCAATAACGCATTACAAAATTGTACTAAGGCGCGTAATCAGCCAATGCCAGTTCTTGAACTGTTTGGAAGTGGTGCGGGTGCTGACTATTTAGTAGTTTTCAGACAATACTGACTAATCCCAGAATATTGCACAGCTGTCCGGGTGCTATCTTGGATAAGTCGGTGCTCTCCCCCGAGTGTGTGCATGTGCTGGCACGTGAAAAGACCCAAAGTCGAGGAGGTTCTGCGTAGTTCCTAAGATGCGATTCCGCGATGGAGCCGGCGCGTCCGGGTGCATAAACATTTCACGTGTTAGAACTAAATTTTCAATAAGAACGTACAGTAAAACCATTAAGTAATTAATAGATTCAAGTGTTACTTTGCAGAAGTCCATGTTAATAATAATGGAAGTCAATTGTGCAAAATAACTGCGCTTGCGTTGAATAATTTTTCATGCAGTCAATTTTCCCACCCTCCCTCCGAATAAAATTAATAAAATAAACAACACAAGGGCAACTAAAGTCACAAATACCACCACCAAATATACCCGACACTTGTTTCGCCTCTCCGCTAGGCATCCTCAGGGGCTGTTGATAGTTCGACGCTCGGCCGAAGAATGAACTCGTTCAGAACGGTTGGGATGATACATGGTTGGTATATTTATACCCCGCTACCCCCAGTGTTGCTAATTGTTGAAACCCGAAAATAACCGTAATAAAGGTGATGATGCAAAATTCAATTGAAAAAACAAAAATTACTCGCTAAGCAAACTTTTCGAGTAACTCATGTTTACAACTTGCAACTTTCGCAAAGCAGGGGTGCTCAACCTCAAGCTCAGGCTCGACCGATGTTGCTACTGCTAGACTAGTTTACTCACAGACATAATGTCTAGATAGACGCCGCAAGTACAGCAATTTGTATGAAAACCAAGCGTGCCACATTTTTTGATGACCCCCTATGACGTCACAAGCTCTATTTAGTGACTACTCTAAAACGATTCATTGAACGGAATACGCCGCACAATATAAGTAAGTATAATGTCCTACGGGATTCTCATGTGGAGTCAAGCGGCAGATATAAAAACCATATTTGTGTTGCATAAACGAACGATTCGTTCTGTGTACTGTTTAGGTTCTCGGATTTCTCTCAGAGAAAAGTTTAAAGAGACTGGTATCATCACAGTACATTTACTCAAATATTTTGTATGCCCGTAAAAATATACATAATTTCGTTAAGAAAGAAGATATCCATAATA